CGTCTGACAATACAATTCCCTTCATTGAGCACCTCATCGGAGGGTCATCTTAGAGTAGACTATGAACTCAAAGCCACAGCATAAGTTTGAAGGAGAGTGCTGCTAACGTTATTTGTGAATCCTTGTTCTCTGCATGTGTATCACACATAATTATCATCACATTGTGTTGTCATCTATTATACTGTACAGATTTAAATCAATCACATTTGCTAATCACATAGAAGAGTCTAATTTCCTAAGGATTCCATTTGGTCAGTGGAAGCTATTCCCTTGAAGCAGGTCGGGTGGGAGCAGAGTTCCCATGGGTTGATGTGATGTAGTTCTGTGACCAGAAGGAGTCCCTACTTGCATAACTCCTGATTTCTTAGAAAGAAATAATAATCCTTGCATTTCATATAGAGCCTTATTACATCATCGGGACATTTTAGAGCACGTCACAGGATTTTGCAAACAAGTGTATTTTATAGGCGAACAAAATGAATGACCAATTTTATCAGAAGGATTGTAGGCCAGGACACTGTTTGCTGCTCTGCTCCCTACCCAGGAGTTGTTTGAGAAAGATACAATAATCCCACGTTTTACCGCACAAACTGGGATTTTTCCAGACTGGGATCTAGAATTTGAACCTGGCCGGACCTGGCTTTAAAACGAAAAATTTTAAAAATTCCCATGGCCCGCAAACTCCTGACTCCTGACTCTCCCAGCACAGGCCAACATCGCGCTGAATGGCCTCACCATCCCCACTAACCAGGGAGATCGACTTTGACTCTATTTGTTTGAATCCCATTAGCAGAAGATAGCTTACTCCGTATCCACTGCCAGCGTGATTCAAAGAATTCCTGGGATCGACATTTACCGGCAATTTCAAAATATATCAGTAAATCTGGTGCTGGTTTTGTAATTATACTTGGCTGGAAATTCTGGCAGAGAAATCTCCACATCACCCCACCCCCACCTCATCAGAACTGAAATCTACTGGGTAATTCCAGTAATAGAATAGGAAGCCCTCATCTTTACTATACAAGGGCAGTTGTGCTTTGTAATGACTCCTGCAGATCCCTATTCACTTGTGTTTTCAGTGTGTTGTAGTTTTTCTCTTCCTTTTTAAAATGAAACACTATTCAAATTGATTCAGCAGAAATAAAGACTGACAGGGCTAATTTACACAGAGTAGTAATAGTGAAGGGAGTTTGCAGATACAGAAATGTAAGGAATTGGTGGGGAGGAGTAAGAGTACAAGGTAAATTTACATCCGCCACCTGCAGAGAGCCCTCCAACAAGTCCTCTCACTCACTGGCTCTGCACATTTTCTCTGTTGGAATTAAAAAGTATTCATGTGTAATTTTAGTGCATAGAATCACAAACAGAATTATATAAACTGTTCTTGTCATCCGGCTGTGCTTCAGACATCAGTGTTAATATAGTAAAGGACATAATTACCTAGTTATACTGCCTCATACAATACTACAAGACCAGCTTGCATTTATATGACACTTCGCACGGGATTGCATCTCGAAACGCTAGATATAATACAGGCTACATTTATATAGCATCTTCCACATCGGGAAGACCTCTCAAAGTGCTTGAATGATACAGAACACCTAACTTGTTCTATCTTTAGATGGTAAAACTTTCCCTGTATGTTGTGTAGTTATGCCTGTTCAGAGTAGAAAGTCCCTTTTTGCATGTGACTCAAAATTGTTTTCTCAGAGCAGGGGTTGGGTGGGGGGGGGGTGTGGCAGCGTCTTGAAAAATAATAATCAATTCAATTATCAGGGCAGCAGATCTGCTAGTTGTTACAGCTACCAGAGCTGTTAAGCGTTCTGACAAGCTGCCCGACTTGGAGGGTGCTCAAAAAGTGCATGTTGTTGTTGTACAACGTTCCCTCTCCTCCCTTCCCCCACCCCGAACCCAGCTCGGGTCTGAAATGCTGTACTCTGTCCAGTGCCTTGGGACGTCCTCCCGACGTGATAGGCGCTATACAAAAGGCTTCTTCTTGTTGTTGCTGTACAGCGTGTACATCGTGTTTACAGGGGCAGTGCTGTTTGCGGGGAGCAGTGCTGTTTGCGGGGGCAGTACTGTTTGTGGGGGGGCTGTGCTGTTTGCGGGGGGCAGTGCTGATTGTGGGGCGGTGCTGTTTGTGGGGGGGGCAGTGCTGTTTGCGGGGGGGGCAGTGCTGTTTGCGGGGGGGCAGTGCTGTTTGCGGGGGGGGCAGTGCTGTTTGTGGGGGGTGCTGTTTGTGGGGGGGGGGCAGTGCTGTTTGGGGGGGGCAGTGTTGTTTGCGTGGGGGCAGTGCTGTTTGGGTGGGGGCAGTGGTGTTTGCGGGGGGGGCAGTGCTGTTTGCGTGGGGGGCAGTGCTGTTTGCGGGGGGGGCAGTGCTGTTTGCAAGGGGGGCAGTGCTGTTTGCGGGGGGGGCAGTGCTGTTTGCGGGGGGGGCAGTGCTGTTTGCGGGGGGGGGCAGTGCTGTTTGCGGGGGGGCAGTGCTGTTTGCGGGGGGGCAGTGCTGATTGTGGGGGGGGCAGTGCTGTTTGTGGGGGGGGGCAGTGGTGTTTGCGGGGGGGCAGTGGTATTTGCGGGGGGGCAGTGGTGTTTGCGTGGGGGGCAGTGCTGTTTGCGTGGGGGGGTGCTGTTTGCGTGGGGGGGGCAGTGCTGTTTGCGGGGGGGCAGTGCTGTTTGCGTGGGGGGCAGTGCTGTTTGCGTGGGGGGCAGTGCTGTTTGCGTGGGGGCAGTGCTGTTTGCGGGGGGGGCAGTGCTGTTTGCGTGGGGGGCAGTGCTGTTTGCGGGGGGGCAGTGCTGTTTGCGGGGGGGGCAGTGCTGTTTGCGGGGCGGTGCTGTTTGTGGGGGGGGCAGTGGTGTTTGTGGGGGGGGCAGTGGTGTTTGCGGGGGGGGCAGTGCTGTTTGCCAGGGCGGGGAGATGGGGCGGTGTTGTGTGCGGGATCATTGCTAAATATAAGCTAGATGGTATGGAAATATAAGGTACAATCTTAAAGGGGCTGAAGGAAAACAGAGACCTGGGGTTCATATAAGTAAATCTTTGAAGGTGACATGACTGGTAGATAAAGCTGTTAAAAAAGCATACGGGATACTAGGCTTTATAAATAGGGGCATAGAATACAAAAGTCAGGAAGTTATGATGAACCTTTATCAAACACTGGTTAGGCCTCAGCGAGAGACTGTGTTCAGTTCTGGGCACCACACTTTAGGAAGGATGTCAAGGCATTGGAGAGGGTGCAAAGGAGATTTACCAGAATGGTACCAGGAATGAGGGACTTCAGTTATCAGGAGAGGCTGGAGAAGCTGGGATTATTCTCCTTGGAGCAGAGAAGGTTAAGAGGAGACTTAATAGAAGTTTTCAAAATTATGAGGGGTTTCGATAGGATGAACAAGGAGGAACTATTTCCACTGGTGGGTGGGTCGGTAACCTGAGGACACTGATTTAAAACAGATCAGGAGAAATTTTTCACGCAGCAAGTTATTGGGATCTGGAATGCATTGCCTGAAAGGGCGGTGGAAGCCGATTTGATAACAACTTTTAAGAGAGAAGTAGATAATTATTTGGGCAGAATAAGTTTGCAGGAATATGGGGAGAGAGCGGGAGAGAGGGATTGAATTGGATAGCTGTTTTCAGAAAGCCAGCACGGACACAATGGGCCGAATGGTCTCTTTCTGTGCTGTATAATTCTATGATTCTATGATATAAGTCTGCTTCATGTCCCCTGGTCTTTAACAAAGGCAGTGGGTAGTGGAATGGGGTATGAGGAAGTCAGAGAGGTTGGGAGTTGCCAGGGAGCTGCCAGGGCATGAAGTGATTTGTACACAAAGTGAGAGGATCGTGAAATCGATCCGGGTTTGGTGTGGGTGAGGATACAGGCAGCAAAGTTTTGAGAAAAAGAAGGCCGGTATCAAAGGTAAGACTGAATGCAACAAATTGCCAAATTCTCAATCTCTAAATTGCTTCAATAAATAGGATAAATCTGGACCCTGATGGAATTTCTGCACGAGTATTTATTACACAGCACTAATTTCCAGATGTTGCAGACCAGACTGTAGATCAAAGCTTTGAGGGCAATTCTAAAAGTCAAGCAAAGCGACTGACTCCCTTAAATGTCTTAGTGACATCTTATTCAATTATTGTGATCAAGTTAACTTTGTTTGAAATTAAAATATTCACCCAGCTCTTTGAAAACCACAAATGTAATTTTAATGAGGCTATTGACCTCTTTACCCTGTGACCTAGCTGTAATCTGTGTTCAGTTTGAGAGGACATAGCAGTGACGCAAAACACCATTTGGCTTGGTTCACTAAGTGTGGTTAATTTGACAATCGTGTGTTTCGAATGGAATTGGAAGCTGCAAGCTCACATGTTGGCTGACACCCCAGTGCAGGGCTGAGAGATGGTGCGTTGTCAGAGGTGCTGTCCTTTGGATGAGATGTTAAACCTAGGTCCCAGCTGCCTGTTCAAATGAATGTTAAGAATCCTGTGATACTCTTTCTCCTGTGAGTTCTCCTGGGTCCTGTCCTGACCAACAATCCCCCGGATAAAAATGATCATTCACTTCATGCCTGTTTTGGAATTTTTCTGCGCTCAAATTGGCTGCTATGTTTTTTTTCAAAATACAGCGACTACATTTAGCAAATGTCTGGGAAATGACTCAAGACATTTTTACGTTATAGCCGCTATAGAAAATTGCAAGGGTTATTGGATCCATAGTAACCAATGTTAGGTAGCACGTTGCTCTGTATTCATCTGTTGTTACTCTGAAGGAAAGCTATTTTCAGATACCAAAACAAGCACCTCCTCGCAGCTGGAAGTTCCTCTAGGGATTAGTGAACTTTACTGTTGACGATTCTTCACTGAACAATAAATCCATTCACACTGGCTTTCAGATATCCTGAAATGGTCTGCATCAACTGGTTTAAAAGCACACGCGGCTGTGTCAAGTAGTGCTATGTCACAGATTAAAATGCTCCCGGAGAGACTCCATGTTGACCATGGATAGTCAAATTTCACTGTGAGCGAGTGAGCTGAGGGGCATAATGTAGTGACACAAATAATCAAATGCTCCCCGACTTCTGTGCTGCTGGGGAATGGTGAGAAATGCTTGTGGAAGGAGGGAGGGAAGAAAGGGTTGAGCTTTGCTCCTGGAGATCGAATGGATTAGATAATAAGGTTGGGATGTGGCTGCAGAAGAAATGGGCTGGAGGGAGCTTCCTATTTCTGTACATCTCCACTGATTTCAATCTTCAATAAGTGCAAGTTGTATTCAAACAAACAGAATGACTCTATGCAGAATTAGAGCACTCGCCTCGCAAGCGAGAGGAGCCATGTTTGATTCCCGTGCACGGTGAACCTTGGTTAAATTTCCTAACTCCACACGCCTCTGTTTACCTAGCAGTGAGTAGAAACCTGGTTATTAGGGGATTGGCAGATCGGGTGATAATCCCTCAAAAAAATAATTTGTTCACTCAATCCACTACTGTTTGTGGGACACTGCGGTGTGCAATTGGCTGCTGCATTTCACTCACAAAATCAGATTTACAGAATATACTGTAAAGTCAATTCACTTTACAGTATATTCTGTTAAGCACTTTGGGAATGCTCAATGAGCTGATAAGGCACTATATCAAATGCAAGAATTATTATTGTTGTATTTCACAGTGAGGTACACTGGCCCAACAAACCAAAATGCATAAATCAAATATTGACCTTGGAAGATTTAATATTAATCCTTGCATTTGATGTAGCGCCTTATCAAGTTTTTGAGACGTCTCAAAGCGCTTCACAAAATATACTGTAAAGTGAATTGACTGTATATTTTTTAGGTGAAACGCAGCAGCCAATTACGCACAGCAGTGTCCCACAAACAGACGTGGATTGAGAGACCAAATTATTATTATTTATCTATTATATATTTTTTAATGCATTATTACCCCTGGAAAAGTGATCCGCCAATCAGGTTCGTACTTAACACTCGGTAAACAGAGGCGTGAGTAGTGAGGATACTTGCCTAAGTTTTCGCCCTGTCCGGGAATCAAACCCAGGCCCTTTTGCGTGCGAGGCGAGTGCTCTAACAGCTAACAACAACAACAACTTGCACTTATATAGTGCCCTCCACGCAGGGTAACGTCTCAGAGCGCTTAACAGTGGCAGAGCCTGACTCCAAGTCGGGGGGAAGGGGAGGTGGCCATAAGCACAGTTGAAGAGAAAAGTTTTCAAGCGGGACTTGAAAGTGGGGAGAGAGGAGGCAAGGCGGAGGGATTGAGGGAGAGTGTTCCAGAGTTTGGGGGCGTGGTGGCTGAAAGCATGACCTCCGACGGTGGAGCGCAGGGTGCGAGGGACAAACTGGAGGCTGGCGCCAGTCGACCAGATTGAGGAGTGAGGAGGTCGGAAAGCTAGGGAGGTGCCGGGGAGTGAATGGATTTGAACACGAGCGTGAGGATCTTGAATTTGATCCGTTTGGTGATGGGGAGCCAGTGGAGCCTGACCAGAACTGGTGAGATGTGGGTACGGAGTTTGGTCCCGGTCAGTATGTGAGCAGCAGAGTTCTGAATGAACTTGATCTTTATGACTAGTGGAGCTGGGGAGACCGACCGGGAGTGAGTTTGAGTAATCCAAGCGGGAGGTGACGGCTGCATTTGGAGTAAGGTACGGTCAGAGGTGGGCAATGTGGCAGAGGTGGAGGAAGGCGGTCCTGCTCAGGGACCGCATGTGGGGGAGGGAGGATAGCTGGGGGTCGAACTGGACGCCTTGATTGTGCACTGGTTTGGTGAGTCTGAGGGAGTCGCAGGGAGATTGAGGAGTTCAGATCCACAGTAGTGAAGACGTTGACGGGAGCCAAGGAGTATGGCTTCTGTCTTGTCCATATTCAGCTGCAGGACACTCATCCAGGTCTTGATGTCTGCCAGACAAGCTGATAGAACATCAGGGGACCTGGAGTTGGCACTGGAGAAGGCAAAGTAGATTTGTGTGTCACCTGAGTACATGTAGAAGTTTACCCCGTGTCTGCGGATGACATTGCCCAGAGGGAGCATATAGATAAGGAAAAGAAGAACTCCGCTACAGCTGAAGGACTCCAAAAAGACAGGGATATGGAACTAAAAAGGCATGCCACGATCTAACAAAATGACAGAATAGGCTTGATGGACTGAGTGTCCTGTTTCTCTAGATTCTTAACATTTGATGGTGTTTATTTGTAAGCTTCATAAAATCGAATGATATGCAATGCAGAGCTGCATTCCAAACACATCCCACTGTGTTTGGAATGAGTTGTAGTACAATGTTCTGCACACTTTTATATTTCTAGGAATCCTTTTTGGGCTGCAGAAGATGATCCTTGTTGTTTATTTGCCTTGAAATGCTTTGAGTGACGGATCTTTTGTCTGAAATTCTCAGGTAATCAACGAGAAAAGTCTTGTGGTAAAACGTGTAAGGAGGACAGGGACAATGAGTGGATGGGTGTGAGTCTGTCCCGACAGCAAGGAGGCAGCGGCAGTATCCTGGTAAGGCAATATCTTTTAGTGCTTGAAATGATTCCAGACTTCAAACAATTATTGTAACCCTGTGCCTTACTGTAACCATCGGATATACAATAAAACTCAAAAGCCAGGACCATAAAATTTAATATGACTTACATAAAGTGTGAGTTGCAGGCAAACTGTATAAAATATGATTTAATCGATAATCTACACAGTCATGGGTAATTCAATGCAGCCGCTAAGTGTGAATATGGTACTTTGTCACTGCAACTGGTAAGTGTGCAGGTAGTGACGGATCACGGCTACGTTTTAGATGATTCAATGCAGAGTGTGAGTAAGTGTGAGTACGTTGACGGGTCAGGGTGTCATTTCCCGTGATTCAATGCAATTCAATTACTCCCAGAAAGTTATCTGCCAATCGACTAACAACTGGGTTCCTACATGCTGGTGGGTAAGCAGAAGCGTGCGTATGTGTGTTGAGTAAGGAAACTTGCCTGACATTAGGGGTGAGTGAGAGACACCCATTGTGGGTCAGTGACCCCTCTCTTTCCCCTCACTCCTCCCCCCCATGACGCAATGGAACAAGGGAATAAAAAGAGGAAACTGAATGGGATTCAGGTGCATGTGTCACTTAGAGGTGTTGTACATTATCTGTAGGTCTGTCACGAACAGGAAATGATGGCACAATGTGCTCTCACTGTAACCTCTTAAACTGCCTTTTATGGCTCTGTGACACGATGGAGTGAAGGGCGCTACACAGATGCAAGTTGTTGTTGTTGTGATACAGGTCGTGTGGACTGTTTGTCCCACAGGCCAAATTGCACTGAAAAAGATACTGCAATCTGATGTGCTGGGGCTTTCAGTGGTTCATGTGACGTACTCGAGACATAGGACGAGGATTAGGTTACAGCGACTGAAGCAATGACCGCATTAGTTATTATTACCATGGCTGTGTGCACACCGCTTACACACAAACTCTTGACAGGCTGAGAGAATGCCACATCCTTAATGCTTTCACTTCACTCTGACATGCTCTTTCTCTGAAACCCTGCACTTTGAGCTGCAATGGTTTGGGCAATCAATTGGCGGTTATTTTTTGTTTACAGTGGGCAGTGTGGCCAGGGCCTTCACAGAAATGTAAATATTTGGAGATTTCTGGGTCTGCAAACACTTCAACTAGTTTGCCTTGGTCAGGAAAAGAAAGTGTCCTCAATGTGCTGATTTATGTTAGATTTTAATATAAATGGAGGATGTCCTGGGAGGACATCCCAGCGCCTTGGGTTGTCCTCCGAACATGAAAGGTAATATACAAATGTCATTTTGTATTTTATTTTCAGTGTATAATGTCAAATGGGACTGTTTGCTTGGTAATTTCAGTGAAAATGTAGGTTGTGCTGGAACCTCTCAAGTGCAATTACTGTTTCTCTGTGGCGAGATCGCAGAGCTGGTACTGTTTTGATACTGTCAGTGATATTCTTAGTGGGACCCGACTTTATGAGAATGTGTTAAAAAAAATTCTTTTGTGTGTGTGGGTGGGGGATGGTTTTGGGAGGAGAGGCATTTGTGTTTGTCTTGCTTACGTGTTCTTCCTCACATTGTGTGTTTAGTATTATCAGCAACAACTTTTATATAGGTTTCTCCATTTATATATAGCACCTTTCACATGGGGTAGTTTCTCAGAGCACTGATATACAAGTCACTTTGTATATTTGGTTGGAATCATCTGTTACTGAAGTTAGTCCCCTTTAATGTGATTTAGTGTCTAGCTGCAGAGTCAGAAGACTGGGTTGTTAATATAAAAATCTATCCACATTCTCCCCCCTTAGGATTGAACTCACTTGCTGGATACATGTAACAATGTTGTTCTTGAATCAATTGAGAGTATTGGGTGGGGTGGGGAGGCTGTTTTTATTAATCAAATCAGACGAATGCTAGAAATAAGACCATTTCCTGAAGAGGATTTTTCTTGTCCTATTGGATTACTGTGTACGTAGTGTACTCTTTACTAAACTCTGGGTTTAGTTGATGTTAAGGATTATAAGGTGTATAATGTAATTTAGTGCTTTTTGCTTGGTCATGGCAATGAAAATGTGTGTTGCACTGGAACTTTGGGCAGGGCAAAACGTTGGGTAAATTTACTTACTTCGCATCCCTATGCTTACCTAGCAGGAAGTAGGAATCCAGTTGTGAGTCGATTGGCGGATCACTTTTCGGGGATAATAATTCCTTCAAAAAAACATATTAATAATAATTTGGTCACTCAATCCACGACTGTTCGTGGGACACTGCTGGGCACAATTGACGGCCGCGTTTTGCCCACAAAATATACAGTCAATTCAAACTTCTTTATGCATCATATTGTTTGTACTTCACAGTCATCTCAGCGAATGACACAATTTTACCCTGTTAGAATGTTCCCTGGTATAGTGCATGTCTTGTTAGAAATGCAGGTGTAACTATGGATCTACGCTGTACCAGAAATGCCATACACTGGCTGCAGCTGCCATGTGTCAGCCTGGCTCAATCAGTAGCACCCTCGGCTGTGAGTCAGAAGGTTGAGGGTTCAAGACCCACGTTAGGACTTTGAGCTAATAGTTTAAGCTGACACTGCGTTGCAATGCTGGGGGAGCATTGGTATTGTCTGGACTCTTTCCCAAGTAACCATCCCCTTCTCCATGTGCACCCCTCCAGAAATTTAAAGGGGCATCATCGCTGTGTGACGCTGTCAGTAAAAGCTTTTTCACGTTTTCACACGCTCACACACATACAAATGAAAATAACCTAGGATCAAAGGAATGAGTCTGTTAGGGTTGTTTCTGTTGATCTGGAAACTGAGGAAGCAAAACAAAGTGCCGTGGAATAAAATGTCAATTAGCCACTGACAGGCTGATCACAGATGGGAGACAAGACAAAGACGTCTTAAGCAAAAGGTATAAACACCAAAGTCACTGGGAACACACAGCAGGTCAGGCAGCATCCATGGAGAAAGCAAAATGAGTTAACGTTTCAGATCTATGACCTTTCGTTAGAATTGGGGTGTGTTGGAAGGGAGCAGATTATAAGGATAAGCAGGGAAGGGGGCAGGGAAAGAAAGACAAAGGAAACATTTTTAGATGGAGGACAGAAAATGATGAGATTAGAGGTGTTGATGGTGCAAAACAAAAGGCAATAGTGGGAGATTATAGACAGAACAGATATGTCTAAGAACCAGAGAATATGTTAATGGTTATAGAAGAGATGGGGGTGTGGGAGCAAGGCTGAGAGAAGATGGGAGCTGTGGTTAGAGTCTGAAGTAGTTGAAATCAATGTTGAGGCCAGAGGGCTGTAAGGTGCCTAAAAGGAGGATGAAGTGCTGTTCTTCAATGTATTAAGCAATCCAGCTGCTACAGATGTGCACTGAGCTGTGGATTCGGGGATTCTGTCAACAGAAGAACCCCCACTTTACAATAAACGAGACACCAAATAACGAATAAGCATCAGAAATACTCTAAGTGCCCGTGGTTTTGCCCCCTTTCCCCCCACAATCTTTGCACCAATGTTTGGTCTTGGAGAAGAGCCTGAATGGAACAGGTCTGTACATCAATGGAAATTTAAAATCTCAGTATAATAGAAGGCAAATAATGCTAAAGCGACAACAAAATGCGTGTCCCATTCCTAAACACGGCACAAATCGTGCTTTTGATATTCTGCGGTGATAGAAAGTAAAGGAAAATCCCTGGGGTATAGCATAACACAGCTACCTGCTACCCAGCGCACATGGTTTGTTTAAGTTATTACCGTAAAATCATGGCTACTTGATTGATGACAGCTCAGTAATGTGGACCGAAGGTTATTAATATCCATGTTTCAAAAGAGTAGACGGTGGACAAAAAGAGAATATGAAGAATGATTAGGCTCATGTTTCCTGGTGGTCTTTCCTATCTGGCCTTGTAAATTGACACATGGGATCTGATGAAAGGAGTCAGGTTTTGGCATCAGGTCTCTAGAGTGGGTGAACAGACATTTTAAGTGTTGTTTTGCTCGGGCCACCCATACCTTTCTGAAGATGTAACCAAGAGGGTTGGTGCAAACAGACTGGAGGATTGTCTGGAGGGAGCTCTGAGCAGAGGTGATATTTATAGTGATTGTGTGCCTTTGCTCGAGGGAAGCATGCTTGTCGATCTCAAATCCACAGCCAGCTCAGTGTACCTCTGATGAGGCTGGATCCCTTCATGTACCACACACACCCTGTGTAACCAGGGCACTATGTGTGAGGGATTATTTCTCACCCAGAAGTCATTTGAGTGACGTTCTAGGGTATCAGAGAATCATAGGAAATTACAGCACAGAAGGAGGTCTATTCGGCCCAGCGTGCCTGTGCCAGCTCCTTGAAAGACCTACCAACTAGTCCTACTTCCCCGCTCTTACCTTGTAGTCCTGCAAATTTTTCCTTTTTAAATACCTATCCAATTCCCTTTTGAAAGCTATTATTGAATCTGCTTCCACCACCTTTTCAGGCAGTGCATTCCAGACCGAAACAACTCTCTGGGTAAAAAGATGTCTTCTCATTTCCCCTCTGGTTGTTTTGCCAATTATCTTAGATATATGTATCACACAATCTAATGTACTCCTTTCTCAAACATTTTGAAACCAATGTGGCTGACCAGCATTGTGATGAAGGCGAGTGTGATGGAAGGAAGTTGTTGCTATTTTGGAGTAGTAATTTCTTGACTCTGGAGGAGCTGCTGCTCAGTTCTTTGTACCTCAGGGATGTGCGTCATCCCACCCACAGCACTAACCTCCATTACAACCAACCATAATACTTAGGAAACTGAAACCTGGCGGTCTGAGCATTGGAGGTCAAAGTCATCTTATTTCTAAATACATTCCATTCCTTTATTGTTAAGAACAGTTTAATTTTCTACAGTGTCTTTCACGTCGTAAGGCCATCTCAAAGCACTTCACACAGCCCAAATAGTACAAAATGGATGTTAAAATTTTCCTTAAAACTTGTCTTTAACACAAAGTACATCCCCCTAATTTGG